AAAGCTGCTGAGAGCAGGGAAGTCTTTGCCAGAACCAAAGCATGTCCTGCTGATAATGTTGCAGCTGCTCCCCCTGAACGGCAAAGGAAGACAGACTAGGACCTAATAGTCCTCCTGGCTCAATGAGACCAATAACGGAGTTTAGAAGGAAAGTAAATTAATATGTTTGACTCCAAATAGTTTTAACTCTCAGTCCAAAACCCCCCAAAACCAAACAAAAAACAACCAAAATTAAAAAGCCGACACATGAGAATTTGCTATCATTGGCAGATTTATGGGGAAGATGGTTAAGTGTGTCTACAATTTATCATGTTGTAAATCGTACCATCCCTGGAGGGAGAAAAGTAGGGTTGGAGTTTAAACAAAGGACTTGTATGCGTCATTCATCACAGTGCACATATCCTTAACTATATCTTAAAAAGGAACCCTCAAAGTCCAGCAAGTATAACAGAAAGTTTACTTCCATTTGGTCTTCTGTTTCAGATCTTTCTCCTTCGCTTTTTCCATAATTCCTTCATATTCAGATTTCTGGATTATTTTCCATTCCAGCTCAGAGAGTTTTTTCTTGTTTAAACATGTGCAAATACATTTACATACATAAATACATCCTTACATTTGAACAAGTTAAAAGTCATATAGTAGCTAAACATTAGTTAAGTTCATTATATATAATTTCTGCACTCTGCCAACCTTTCTTTGCCTAACAAGCCCCACATTACGCAGCTGTGCCCCATCTGAACTGCTCTGGTCAGTGTTGGTTGGCAGGCCTGCCTTACCAGCTACAGGTCATGGTTAGGAAACTGCAGCTTCCCAGACACATGTCCCCAGTTGCTCAACCCCAGCCCAAATCGAGGTAGAAGACCATAACCCAGTTTGTTACTATAACCAGTAAGCAGACTAACTTCACTTCAGATGTCGCAAGAGTTCAAGTACCCAGCTGCTAATTCTGATCCTGGTAATATTATAATTAAGTGCATCCTTATTCTGTTGCATATAGACCTTTATAAATAACATAACTCATTATTGGTCATTGGACTTTTTTTGTGGGTCTCTCTGTCTACAGTAACTTTAAAGTGTACTTTATTGGGATCAGGTGACTGACTTGGTCATTGAAGAAGATCTCATTTCTTGTGCTTTTGCAGTATGTTTTGGAGTCATTATCACTTTGCTCTATGAATCACTGTCTGATCAGTTTTTCAGCAGAATACCAAGCAGAGTATAAACCTGTACACTTTATAATTCATCCTACTACTTTTATCAACTGTTGGGTCATCAGCAAACAATAGTAACTGGCAACACCTGCCCATCTCATAACAACGCCTCTACCATGTTAGATAATGTTTTATGCTTTGGAAGTTCTTTATTTCCTTCTCCATATTTTTTTCCCATCATTCTAGCACACGTTAATCTCCCTTTTTTTTCTTCAGGGAACTGTGCAGGATTCTTGAGATTTTTTTTTAGTTGTCTTCTATGGTCTTTTGAGCCTAATTATGTCTTCTCTCACTTGCAGTGATATCTCTTTGGGTTTCATATTTAAAATTACAGTGAAAAGCTATTAAAAAAACCCCAACTTCCTGTCAGTTACTTGTTCAAATAATTTTGAGCCACTTGAAACAGGTGGACCATGTATGAAAGTGCAATTATTAAACAGTTACTGGAAAAAAAGAAAAAATGATTGAAAAACCATCTTTAATTAACAGTGCACTTCAATCACATCTTGATTGTTTGATTTAAATCCAATGTGACAGTGTACAGAGGGAAAACTACAAAAAATCATTTCTTTGTCCAACAAATTAAGGAACTGTATTAAAGAACTGTATTATCATTCAACACATGAAATAACAATGATCCACTCCAGGGAATGCTATTTTCAATGATCCTCCTTTCATGATGTGATAATATCATGTTATCATTTACATAACCGTTCAGAATAACTGTAATTAAAAACTGGCAAATGTTATTTGAATTAGGGCTCGGGTTTCAGGTAAAGCATGACAGTTGAACAGAGTTTGTTGCAATGATTGTTGAATTAGGAGACAATGAGATTATTTTTCTAAATTAAAATCTTTTATATTTTACCATTTATGGAACATGTCTGAGTCATTTCTAGATTAAAACTAACACTATATTTATTTCAGCTTTAAGCCACAATGGTTTGATAGTGGGTCAGTCCAGTAACAGTCTGGCTTGCTGAATGTTGACAAGCATTAATTGCTGTTTTGGGAAAACTACACGCCCACATAAAATTTAGCACAAGTAAAGCACTTTTTCTGTCTGCATGACTGATTATAAAAGGGATGGACTTATGACCATGACAAAATTTAAAACTGATCCCATTCTTTAAAAAATAAAATAAAATCATCAACACAGACAAAAAATATTGTCTTTTTGAAAATATAGCAACATTGTCACAGCTGAAATCATGTCGCTACAATAATAAAACTGAATAGATAAATCTTCTTCAGTTAAATAAGAATATAAATTTATCCCGAAGCAAGAAAGCAAAATTTAAAACAATAGTTTTGTTTCCCCTTGATGTTTTCAAAAACATATGATTACAAAATCATATCGGGGGCAGGGTTAGCTCAGTAGGTAGAGTGGTGGCCCCATGATCGGAAGGTCGGGGGTTCGATTCCCCTGAACAGCTACCCTGAGGTACCCCTGAGCAAGATACCATCCCTACACACTGCTCCCCGGGTGCCCAATGGTTGCCCACTGCTTCACTGAGTGAATGGGTTAAATACAGAGAGGAATTTCCCCACGGGGATCAATAAAGTACACTGTCTTTCTTTCAAAAGAAACAGGGCAAGTCCTTTTTTGTCCTGGCTATATTTGAACTAATGCCAGGACAGCAACCACATTAGCTAGCAGGCATAGTTTATTTTATTAAAAACAAAAACAAAAAAAAACAAACACAAAACGCAAGCAGCTGATTGTTGGTATTTCAGCCCACACCTGTCCGTCCTTTTATAGGTTTTATATTCCCCATCGAACAGCTGTTTCTAATAAGGATAATAATGTATATAGTATTTTATAGTCAGCCTTATTCATCAGACCTGCAGAAGCAACCTGCAGTGAAGTTGGCTAAACTCACTTTGAACTCATGAGCTAATCTAGTAGTTACTGAGGTTTGCTGTAAGTTGGTAGGACTGGGATTAAAATAAAAAATTCTGACTTTGAAAACCTTTTAATATTTGAATTCTGTTGTGGGTTTTTTGCTTTTGTTTTTTAAATGTTACTAAGGTTAAAACAAGTGTGAGTCAGTGTGTTGGCGGAATAGCAGAGGATTTTTGGTTTGGTTCAGTTTGCAGTATTTCTGCAACCTGACTGATAATTGCTCGTACTGGTTCTTTCTGATTGTTGATTCTTTCTGGTTGTTCGTGACAAGACTTACGTGAGACTGAGAGATCAGGATGCAATGGTGAATCGAGCAACATGGTGACAAACCTTTCAGTGTATAAGCCTGATGGTATTATGCAATTGGATCTTTTAAGTATCTAAAGTGATTCATCTGCTAAAGTATCAGCAGTGATTCAGCACTAGAATTATTCTCCTTCATTGTCACTCTTTGCTATAAATCCTACATTCTATTATCAGTGACCTCAGTCCACTTCCGCTGAAGTTGAACCACATAAATGGGCCAGGAGAAATCATTTGGCACTGCCTCTTGGAGTGTTTTACTGTGAAATACTGGACCCCACTTTTGCCTCTGATGGAGCATGCTTGTGAATAGAAGTGGGTAATCAAAATGTCTCTTTTAAAAAAAAGAAAGAAAGAAAAGAAAAGGTTCTGACAGGTTTAAAAACTGATGATCTGTGTATCCACACTTCTCTATCAGCTCAGCGTAGAGATAATCTTCTCATAATATACATAACGCTTATCTGTGAAGACTGCGTTTATTTTTGAGCAATTTAGTTTTGACAAGGAAAATGTGAGACCTAAATGGCTTTTTCCTTTGAAAGTGAAACACAAAATGATTCTTTAAAGGAGGATTTATGTGGGAAAGTAGAAAATAGAACATCCCAAGAATGCTAGAGTGCAGATTTTTTTATGAGTCACATATATAACGTGTCCTTTAAATAATGAAATATTTATATATTTACAGATATTTTCTCATAAAGCACGTCAATGATGATTGGCTTAAAACCTTCATGGTTAAACCAATTTGCACAGTTTGATGGCTTCACTGAGCACTGAGTTGGTGATTAGTGTGTTCAATAAAAAGCATTAGCAATATTTTAATAATCACAATCCTTGAGGAAGGCATGTACCACAAAAATGGCCAAGAATGGTGTTATCTGAGAAAACGTGTCAATTTAACCCTGAGCAGTTAGTACGTCTGTTTCTGTACATGGATGCCCATTTTGGAAAAATTGTGTGAATTTACTGTCCAAATAATAATTTCAGTGGGAAATACTAAAAGAGGGCAGCCTGAAAATGCAAAGCTACAGGGACTTTGTAAGAATCTAGGAAGCTCACTGAGTAAAAAGTTGTTTGCCTGTTCAGTGACCAGAGAAAGCAACAGGAAATCTTTGTGTTTGATGTTCATGTTTTTCTGATGTTTGTCTCCACCTCTGTCTCCTCCAGTAAAGCAGTCGAATAAAAAAGATAGGTAGTGAGCTAACCCATGCATCCCAACACAGGATTTCGTGGACTTTGTTTTTTTATGTATACTTTAACTGAAGAGCACCTGTCAGATCAGCCATCGGAGTCGTGCAGCACTTCCCTTCTCCTCAGTTAAAAAATCTTCAGTTTTCAGAAGGCGGTTACATTTCCACTCAAAACGATGTCAGAAAAGACTGGACACACAACACCCCTTGCACACCACATCAGACTTGCCTGACATCTCCCTGAAGAAAATAAGTAGCCTTTGTCATGTGCAGCCTACAGATAAACTTTCTGTCAGAACTGAGCACTGAAGGCTTCCCTCCCTTGCATCTTTCCAGCCCAGTCTGCCAGCTTTCAAACACAGCCTTCAAGGTGCACTGCTGCTTCCTTACCTTGTTCTGAAGTTAGCCGGGTGTGGATGCCCGTCATACAAAGATAAAAAGTCATATTCCTCCTCCACAGCGAAAGATTGAAAAACTATATGAATCCTGTTCCCCTCCTCAGCAACAATCACCCAGGTACAGTTCGCTCCATTTGGATATCCATATGGAAAGCCAGGACTTTCTATTGTCCCATTCCTGCCTTTTAAAGTGCCTCCACAAGAATGGATAAAACCTGGAAGGAAAGAGAACAAACACAACATCATTATCCAATGCATATAATGGGTTTGTGTGAGACTCTCAGCTGAAGAATAATAAAGTAAAATGCTCTGCAGCACAGAAACAAAAAGAGTACTTCATTTTGATAAACTTCGTCTGCTGCAAGCATCCAAGCAGCAATAAATAAAAGAGATATTTTAAACAGGCCTGCACAGAGACAATTCCAAATAGCATTTGTTCATAACAACTGAATGCACCCTATGATGTTCATGTGCAATATTTCTTTAACTGAGATCAAATTGTTTGGAAAATCCCTATTGTTCTCAGCTGGCAGAAGCTACGAGGGAAATTTGGCAACCAGCTGACTAAGAGCCGAGTTTTGTGTTTCCATTTATGATTTCTGTTTTCTTTCAGATCAAATAATGACAATAAAATGCAGAAAGCTGCAGCTGCAGTAATATAAAAAAATGTATAATTGAGGATGCTTTTAAAAAATATTGTGATGTGTCATTAGAGTATTTTTATAGGGTCTAAAAGTGCCAGAGATAGCCAACAAGTAAAGTCTTCTGATTTGGTGCTTCAAGCTTTTAACAGCAGATTAGTCATCCGTCTTGCACCAGCTTACTGAGAACTGATACCCTAGACACATTATGTTAAACCTCATACCATCACTGTCAAGCTACAGTAATCTGGTTGCTTTTCTAACCTTTGTAGTGTTGATGCAAAGGAACGTAAGTGCCACTACTAAGCAACCTTGTTTTCACAACATCACACCTATTCCCTCCACACTTCCACATCCAGAGTACTTCCGTAGTTACACAAAATTGCTCCCATGCACACTGTGTCACAATGCAAAGAGCGTCCCCTTTTCATTTCAGGCTATCTTGCATGTTGTCTAATGAAATGCAAACGTAATTAAGATGCATGGTTTACCCCCCACAATTTACCCCTTGTGTAATTAGCTTTTCACACTTGGTAAGTAAAGGATGTTTTGCATAGTGTGTTGCCCACACACACACACACACACACACACACACACACTGCAGTATGGGAAAAAGGCAAACACACAGATCACTTGGCAGTTGTGCCACTGAAATGGCCTCTAACTAGACAGATAATAATCTGGCTGCTTTATAAACTGAAGTGACAAAACAGTTAAAATGTTAAACTGTGAAGCAAAGTAAAAAAAAATTAATTTCCTTCTTGTCAGACTGTTACATTTAATTTTTTTTACTTTTAAGAAAAGCATGGAAGTTGTGTATAGCTACCAAAACAAGGTCTATTATGAAATATATGATAATGCACTGAAATACTGCATTTTTCAGCAGTTTTCACTCAACGGGGTCATGACCCAGCAAAGCACAGGGGTTCTGGCCTAGAATCCCAGAACCGTACATCTTGATGCAAATACTGTGCAGATAACTTAACCCCACTCCACCCCACTGTCCACCCTGGCCCGTGTTCATTTTTACGTAATCTCTTGTGATTTTCTCATAGAAACAGTTACAAACATAGTGTGTCAGTGGAGTTCTATATGTAATGCATAAAATAAAATGTCTGGTGATGAGCTGCTGTTCTAAATGCAGAGGAGACAAATTCTTGCCAAGATTTGTTGCATATCTAAGTTGCAATTATTTCCGCCAGCACAGAGCAAACTGGGTAATCATGGCAAATTTGGACTATTGATGCGCCGCCTACACGGTCAACATGATCCAACCTGTGACATGGTGCTTTATGTGCATTCAAGCACTCTTGGGAATATCATAAATTGCCAGAACAGCTCTCATCAATGAGCCACCAAAGTTATGAGCATGGGTGGAAAAATGTGGATTTTTGATGGCACATCAGGACCAGAAATCTGCCAGCATGACATACACGTCTGGCCAATAAGTAATGTGATATTTGTAGGTGCTGTGCTGTTGCATTTTTATGTCTTCCTAAGACAACATGGTCTAAAAAATTGAGAAGCAATGTTTGCAGCTGTACTACTGTTGTTTTACATTACAAAGATTTGGTTTGTACAGGGAGAAAATGCTTATTAAAGTACTATCCGAATCCTGATGTCTGGCTCTGTTTCCTTTCCAAGTGATCTCTGCTGTTTTTATGAAAATATTTTTGAATACATTTTGCCAAAATTCAATTTTACCAAGTCATTACCACAGAAAGTCATGCCAAATAAAATTAACATAATGTTCTGTGACATTCCATTTAGTCTACAAGCTTAGTCTTACACAGAATTATTGACAGGAAAAAGACATGCGTTGTTTGTTTAAAAGGCTATTCAATTTTATACATAAAGTTTGGGTAATTTGCCTATGCTGTATTCAAAGAGGTCCTGCCATGAGTGGAATATGCACTGTTTAAAATATATAAATATATCTTTACTGATATAGACTGGGTAATGTGTTATATCATTTGATGGAAATAAAAATGATCAACCTACAGAAGGTTGAATTCAAAAACAACCCCCCCAAAAAAGAGAAAAAGTGATGTGGCAGTCTAGTCCATTTTTGCCACAATTTAATTATAGCAACTCAAAATGTTACTCAGTAGTTTGTATGGCCCTCATGTACACAATGCATGCCTGACAATGTCAGGGACCAGAGCATGACTGCACTTTGAGGTACAATCTTGCAGCATTGGTTGGCTTGAAATATAATGTCCCAGAGATGTCCTATTGGATTTCAGTCAGGCTACCAGTCAATGCTATCAGTTCCTTCATTCTTGAGAAACTGCTGCATACTCTCACCACATGAGGCTGGGCATTGCTATTCACCAGGAGGAACCCAGAACCCACTGCACCAACATAGTGTCTTAGAATAGGCCCAAACATTCCATCCCAGTACCCAAAGGCAGTCAAGCTGCCTAGCCAGTAGAAGTCCCTGCATGGACCACCATCACCGATCATGCTGAACGATGTGACAGACATCATAATGTTCTCTGCCTTTTCTCCAGACGCTTTCATTTCTGTCATCTGCTCAGGGTGCTCATGTGAAAAGCACAGGGCACAGCGGTGGACCTGCCAATTCTGGTATTCTATGGCAAATGCCAGGTGGGCTCCACATTGCCAGGCAGTGACCACAGGGCTCATTAGAAGATCTTAGGGCCTCAAACCACCCTCATGAAGTCTGTTTCTGGTTGTTTACTGCTGAAAAATAAAACTTTAATGGCTGACACAAACAGGCACAAAATAACAAAGTCAAAAACAGTTAAGAAAGCAGGAATCCAAATAAATCCATGAATCAATAAACAGGATCCATGCAGTTAAACAGAGAGATTACTCAGTGAGGACAAAAGGAAGTGCAGCATTACTAATGAGAAACAGCAGGTAGAGGAACACATGGTAGCTCAATTAACAACGAGGAGGCGAAAACAGTCAAGGAATCAGGGCACAACAGACAGGAAGTACACAGGACAAAAAAAGAAACAGCCCCTCATAGTAAAACAGGAAATAGCCAATCGTAACAAGAATACTAATGCTAAACAAGACAAAAATGAAAAAGAACCAAGGCATAAGAGAAAGGCAGGCATTACAGAAACATTGGAGACATAACTCAAACCCAAAGAAAACTAAAACTAAAACTTGTGACTAGAATAGATCTAATAACATAGTGAGAATGGTTGGTGGGATTAAAGTATTTCTGAAGTGGCTGTGGCTCAGGAGGTAGATCAGGTTGTCTACTAATCGGATGGTTGGTGATTCGATCTCTGGATATTCCAGTCTGCATGACAAAGTATCTTTGGGCGAAGATACTGAACCCGGAGTTGCTGCTGATGCGTTCATCGGAGTGTGACTGTTAGACAGAAAGCACTTAAGCATAGAAAAACGAGCTTGTGAGAATGGGAGAATGAGGCTTGTAGTATAGATGGCCTTACTGTTGTTAGGTTATGCTGCTTTGTCCACTCTGCTGGTGTTATAGTGTGAAATTCCCAACTGTTGCACTAATAAATCTTATCTCATCTCTAATTGTTCAAGCAAATAGAACACCACTATATAAGTAGCAGCCCCTTTACTGTTTTAAAATAGGCTATTAAGTTGCATTATGGGAAATGTGGTAGGTTTCAGTGTTTTGTAACTTGACCTATGCTGTGGACGAAAGTCAGGAGATCTTGTTCTCTGGTGCTTTGATGTTTCACTTTGTGTTCCTAAATCACTGGGGTACCTCTTTAAATGTTATAACAAAAAGAATACTGCTGACATTTGATTTGATTTGGGCCGAGTGAGACTGTAAGACAGTCGAGTAAAAATATATAGAGATAGATAGAGACAGAAGCTTACATCAGTGCTACAGAACTACGACTGCTTAAAAGTAAACTAAACTTGAACTATGGAAAGGCAGCACACAGTTTTGTACCTGTGTGTTAACAGTGTGTTGGACAGAAGAATAACATAAAAGTGAAGCAGCCTGTACGTTTTGTGCTGGTCTTTGATAAACTAACCTGTAAATGGTAAAAGTCTGCTATTATTGCCTCTGTATTGTACCCGCCACCCAAAAGAGCTCTATTTGTCCTTGAATTATTTCTATGTTTGTCAAGCATTAGATGATTAATGTCGCAAACTATTCAGAGTAAAGCTGTTTGTGTGAACTGCTTAGAAGTGTTTGTGTGGCTGATTGTTGTGATGTCCTGGGGATGACAGAACAGATGCTCACTGCCAAGATATCTTCCTCCCCCCCCTTCTTTCTACCTTTATCTCCCACTTTCTACTCCTCAGCTTTATGTATTCCTTTCATCTGTCATTATCCTTGCTTCAACTCTCAAAACTGTCTCACGCCATTTGTTATTTTTTTCTCCACCATTGTGTTACAATTTTTCTCCTACTTATGTGTGTCTTATTTGCCTTTTTTAATTCACTTTCCCCTCTGCCAAGAATTGTTCTTTATCTCCTTTCTTCTCAGCAACTCTACATCTCATCCCCACTCCCATATCTATTGGCTCCCTTGTTTCAACCCCCCTTTTTCCCCCCCAAATGAATTAGAATCCCCCTTTTTCAATGCTGTGAATCATACAAGCTTG